AGCATCTTTACATAGCAGGTAAGTATGACTATTTCCATTTTACTAGTCAAGAAACAGCTAAACAGACAAAGAATCTACTTCCCCTACACACTGCTGACAATGAAAGAAAAACAAGCTCAGGAATTATTTGTCCAATGCCACCCAGTTAGATTATAATTAAAGCATGTCAGGTTGTGCTGTGTCCAGACCAATGACAAAATTGAGGGGCTAAAATAAACGAATATTGCAAAAGTAAAATTAAATCGGCCTTTAGGGCAGATGCTGTTCTCATCAGTTGTATTTGTGATTTTCTTAAATAAAAAAAAACCAACCTATTTTTACATGTATAAAATAGACTTGGTTCATTTTATAGTTTTATTAATTTTTATGTTTAACTTTATTGTCCATATTATGTCTGTAAAGACTATAATAATATTTTTCCATTCAATAAATATAATGGATTTTTAATGGATCTCTTAATTAGGCATTGGTATTAAAATAAAGGGTGGAAGACATTAACATGAAGTAATGCTTAAAGTAGGAACATAGTTTGATTAAAGTTTTTATATTTACACATTTTCAATACGGCAAGCTTTAAAAAATGCTCTAAATGGATTCTACAAAGTGTCAAATATGCTTATATCATTCAAAAATAAGGCAACCCTGAGTTTTTTTCACATTTTGTGATTTACTGCAGAGTGATGGCAATATTTCTGCAAGAACATACAATCCAAACACTTTAATTTTGAAACATTGTTGGTGAATGCAAAATATTGATTCAGGTATATAATGAATACGCATGTGTATGTGTACACATATACATACCTATGTACGCACGTTTAAAATGCACCAATTAATAATAAGGGGTGACATTCTACCTCTGAAGTCAGTTGAATTCTGACTATTGACTTCCACACAGTCAGGATTTTGCCATCAAGCTGTATGTCTCCATTCTTCTTTTTCTTCCAGAATTCATCTGTCACCACTGCCAGAGCTGGTTACACCCTAGTTGGTGTAATGCTGTGTGTCATGGATGTTTTAGATGTTGGCCTTCAGCTGACTCCATGCGAAGGACTAATGGATATATGCAGTCCCCTTTGAAGAAATGTGTGCTCATAGCTTTTCAGCTGCATAGTCATTCAGGGTCACAGTCTTTGCTTGCAGGTGTAACTTCTCCTGAGGACCAAGGAACTAAGCCTGGAGAACAGGAAGGAGAGAGGTGACAAATTCTGGGACAAAGAGGGCACTTCTTGTCTGGCCTACTCTCCACTTGGCTAATGAGACCATTCAGTGTCACATCAAAAGTAGAGTCAGCACAGACTCATGGAGGTTGAGGAAACATTTCCTGGAAATTGCTAACGACAATTAATACCTGCATATATACTATAGACTAATAACATTTGTGTAACATGCTTACACTTACTGATGTCTTCAATAGCATTTACTATATGTATTTCTGCTCTCTGAAATTGACCTTAGAATAATTTTGATTTTGTCCTTATTTCCTCTAATTAAATATCTGATGTTAGGTACTCATGTCTTTTTGCCTTCTTAACTTATCTCGTCTGGCCATTAAATAACTTGAACGACATTTGTGTGGTTGCACACCCTTCATCTGCACACACTTTGAGGAAAAAAAAAAAAGGCTTAGTTAAACAGACAACTTAATGAATTATTAGAGTGGAACATAGCTATGAAGCCTATGTATTATTTCTAGGCAGAGCATATGACCAACAGAAGAAGAACAAGCAAAACATGAACACTGAACATTACTGAGATTTTTTCTCTCTAAAAATGAAAACTAAACTTGCTTATTTACAGCTGTGTGCGGACACCACCCCACCCCCCTACCCCCCGAAACAACAAAAAACCCAAACCCTAAAGTATTACAATTGGTATTTAAAATTCTCTGTTGTTAGTACACAAAATTCCTTCTAAAACTTGCTCAAGAGCTACACATTTTGAAAATGTAGACATTTTTTCTCAGAAACATGTAAAACTCCAGGCAAAGAGAATTAATTCCCAAAGTAATCATCTTAGAAAAACTAGATTTGACATATCAAGAAATTAAGAGAATGTAATAAAAAAACAAGTAAATAGAAAAAATGTGTGTCTGGGAGGAGAATCATATTCTCTTTCATTCCTGCAGTGGGAACTTGAATAAGTGTATCCAGTAATGTAACATCAGAGCAAGTAACAGAACACCTGGAAAAAAATTAGAGATTAATGAGCTGAAATGCACGTCTTGACTTCCAGGAGCAGCATCTACAGTCCACAGCATCACATCAGCAATGATATAAAAGGGTATATAGGGATACACAGGTGGATATCCATGCCATATGGAATTTGGAAGTAAAATATTTAACCATTCAGCCAGGCTAGGATAAGCTTTGATGGAAGGCAAAGCTTTTTCTACATTGAGACATATGGCCCTGTAGTTAGTAGGTTTTAAGTCAACAAAATCTTGAAAGTCTTTTTAGGGGTTCAAAAAGAAAAAAAATGAAGGGAGAAAGAGAAAATACTCATATTATCTGACTTCTTAAAGAATGTGTTTATATTTTATCTTTATAAAAGGAACATTATTTTATGATAATGGAAGAACAGTTATAAAAGAATTTTTATGAGCAGTAAGCAATACCAAATTGCCAGTAATAAAAAAAAATGCTCAGTGTTCAATTTGACTTTTCAAAGCCTACAGTGTGCTTATGGTTCGGTTTATGTTATTCTTAATTTGAGAATACAGATATAAATATAGGTAGATCTGTCTATCTTCTGCCTGAAAAAAGGTAACAGAATGTCATACTGAAGCCTCTGTCAGACCCCTCAGCTCATCTGTAAATGCTGGGGCTTTTTCCTGCTTAAACTGAGACTGAATTCAATCATCTGTATCTCTTTCAGTCTAAAGAACAGTGTGAAACAAAAGCCAAACTTCAAAATTCAGTCTAGGAACCTAATCAATACCAGAATAGTAACTACATTGCCATGGTTAAAATAATCCAGTATTATAGAATAAGATTATATTTTTTGCCCCAATTAAAACCCTAAAGGCTTTTAAAGGACTTTCAACTACCCTGGACAAATCAGATGGGCCTGATAGTGTGCTCTCTGTCTTCTCCTGGTTGGTGACAAAAAATGATCTATTTGCAGATTTCTCATCCTTGATGGTGATAAAAGCATTTCTGTATCAGTTGCAATGCAGAACTCAGAAGTTTACAGACTGCTTTGAACTTTTTGTTGCGTTAAGCTCTCAACAACCAAAGATTCACAACAGGTCTAGCAGCATGCCTTCCCCAAAATCCCCAGTGTGCTGGAGTGCTCAGGTAGTGTATGTATGATTTAGTAGCATATGTATATCTAGTATAGGTACAGCCAACTCTACTCTCCCACTTGGGATTTCTCTACACTGGGAAATGTGCATTGGAAAGAAAGGCAGACTGCTTTGCATCATCAGAATATAGAGGCACAAAGCTGAGGATCCAACACAATATTATTAGTAGCAAAATTTGGTATTTTATGTCTTCAGTGAAATCATGCATTTAATGACCAGTTGTCATCCTATGGTAGTTCACCAAGAACCAGACACAACTTTGATATTGAATTCACATACTGGGACGTCAGTGTGGTGTTAATCCTCTTCTTGTGTTGATCCATAATACTGTCAGAATGCAAGCAGCATGGAAACATGGCTACTTTCCTGTGGTCCAGGGCATGGGCAGTAACAGATGACTACAGAAAAGTAGTGAGTAAAAATCCCACTTGCTCGTAAGTTGCCCATCAGGAGAAAGCATCGCCTTGTTACAGGCATCTGAGTGAAGCCTACGGCTGTAAAATGCCATTCAGAAGCTCAGTCGGGGCTGTGGCTTTCCCAGAGTTCTGCCGGCATGAACAGCCAGCAGTGGAGCTCATATCCAAAATGCCCTGAGAGCTCTTGGCCCTAACTTCATGTTCATAAAATGTGGATGAACTAAAACTTGAAACCAAAAAAAGAGAAAGCTAGCTGTCTTCGCAATACTTTGGTTTTGTGCCCGTTTCCTAAGGGCACTATGATCACTTTCCTTGTTTAGATTGGGGTGACAGAATGGCATTTAGGTGCAAACGCAGAAGGCAAATCTTTCTAGTCTCAATCTGTCAGACAAGTTTCTCTGCTTGTACTTTGTGGTTGGCTTCTCACTGACAGTACAGTTTTCCTTTGGGAAAACTTAGGAGGTTCCTGTCAACAATAGTTAGTTCCCATAGTCCTCACACATCCATCTTGGCCAAGGTCACCAGCTACCCAGTTTTACACATTCAGCCTGTTTGTGGGTTGTGATCTAAACCAGACCTATGAAACAATCCACTAAAAAAAAGTCTAACCTAAATACGTGTATATTTAAATTGCTGTCATTACAGTTCTGTTGCAGAGCATGGCCGTACAAATTGCCAGATCAGTACAACTGAGGAAACAGTAGCCATAGGACAAGAGAGGAAATAAAAGTCCAGGTGTGGGCGAGGCTGGAACCTTGTTAATGGGTTGCTGCAAAAGTATTTCCAATATATAACCACACTTTTGGCACTCCCTAAAAATATCCATGATAGACAATTTGTATCAAGGGAGAACTCTTTAAAAACGAAATCACGCTGTGGACTGCATTCTCAAATGAGCAAAAAATGGCTGTCTGTTTCTGAAAATTAACTTTTGCCATTTCTATGCTATTGCTTATAATGCCAATTTTCATTATTCCTGGAAGTCCTAGCATTAGAATAGACCATTAAAACCAGTACTTTAAGTCACTAGGTTTGATTGCACTTACAGTAAAAAGCTACACTGAGAAATTGTCTGGAATAGCTTGCAATGAGAGCCTTTTTCTGGTTATCTGAAGTGGATTAAGTTAAATTTGAAAGAGGGACAGAGGAAGCACTCTGCAGAATAAGAGTTCCCATGTAGGGAGCTACTTCAGAATAGCCACTGCCCTTTAAAAGTGGCACTCTGCTTTATTTTGAAATAACTTTTAAAAGTAGATAAGACTAAGTTTCTTTCATAGCTCCTTTAACATGAAGGATCCTTAAAGTGGGTGTGAATGTGATTAAATTTAGCACCCACATTCCATTGTAGTTTACACCCACTTTCAGACTGCATTATACTGTCAGAAAGGTGAAAAGAGGCATTCGTATGAGTCCCAGGCTATTTTATTTGTAAATTATTCTGATTACAGCAGTGGTGCTCTAACAGCAAGCAGTGTAGTGTTAGAATAGGCTCTTACAGTCTGTATGGTTGGGGGTTTCACTGGTTTTATTTTGGTTTTTTTTTCCCCAAAATTGTTGGCTTTTTTGGTGTTAGAAGAGGACTTTGGTACTAGCACAGGTATTTCAAGGAGGGAGTGGGATGGAAAAATCCTTTGCACCTGCAGGTGCTTCAGATGTCTAACTGGGGATCCCTGTTCTAAAATGGTCCACGCTGTTATTACTGGCTGTGTTACCATAGCAATGCGAACTCTGTTTGATATGAACATTCTTCCCTACAATTACTACAGCTGATGAGCACAGTAATTATCATAGCTTCCTAAGGTGCACTTAAAATAGTAGAGGCAAGAGAATGCATTCTTGGAATATATGGTACATTCTTTGCAGGCTGTCCTGAAAAATTTCTCTCAGTGGGAAAGTTCAGCTTGTCTTCTGTGGTTATAGATGGGATATTTAAGATTTTTCAGGATAAAGGTTATACTGGGACAAGATACAGCATATAGATATATATGGGATACAGAAAATATCCAGTTACTGTAACACAGCATGATTTATATTATCATTGCTTAAATCATCTTAATGTTACTAGTTTGACATACTCCCAGACATGACAGAACAGGCCCAGGAGCAACATAAACTGGTGTCACACAGTGGAATGACTTAACTAGGAGTTTTTCAATATCAGAAAAATTAGTACCTGCGGCACACTACCAACGGTACACTACCAACTAACCATGTTGCAGCTTCACAGGTGAGAAGCTGCTAAAACAGACAGAATCTAGGCTTTTTTTTCATAGCAGAACGGCAAAAACAAAGCAAAAAATCCTCTCAAAGAAAACCCAAAAGCCTTTGTAGGCCAATGTTTATACCAATGGAGAGTGTTTTCAGGATCTGAAAGGTTCACAAAAACATTGGGACTAATCTTTTGCAGTTACTAATTTTCTTCTTAATATGTATATTTAAAGATTAATTCTCAAACTCTGATAATGCCTGATTCATTGAAAAGGAGATTTAAGATACAACTTTGTTCTATCTAGATTTTTTTCTTGTTTTAAGTGATAGTGGGCTCTAATAGGAGATGCTACACTGCCAGGGAACTGCTTATCCTATCTTAACCTGTGAAATGTATTACCACCCATATATTACATATGATTATAACATCACAGGTTTTCTCTCTGTTGGGTGAGCAGTCATCAACAGATTTAGCAGGAAGACCAGCTGTAAATGAAAAGTAGGATATGGAAGAAGGCATCAGCTGGACAGATCAAGAATTTGCCTTCAGAAATTATGAGTGTTTATTAATTCAAGATATAAGCGGATTTAACTGGTAGGATAGTAATCAATTCATAACTGAAGAAAACAGCTGACTAAAAGTGACACATTGGGAATTGTTTGGGGAAGGTGAAGGGAGAAATCTGAGAGTGCTAATGATTTGGCTAGCCATAGTTACATGTGCCTTAATTCAGATGCCTTCTCATCCAGATAGATCAGATTTCTGGATCTGATCTGACTAGAAGCTAATGTCTAGTATCTTGTTATTTGTGGGAATGCTAATGATTTTGTAATTATTATTGGAATATCTTCATTAACAGGACTTCAAAACTCACCATTTGCTGTTTTTTCTTTCCAGAATTGATACAGTAATATGTATGATATTCACAGAACTCTTTATCCACAAAGGTATGGATTAAAGGGGTAATAAAGAGGTATTGAGATACCAGGGGTATTGAGATATCAACTACCAATACTTCATGAAAGTGTATTAAGATATGACTTAGCAATCTCAGTGTAAAATGCTGGATGAGAAAACATAGAGGTGATCCTTAATTCAAGGGCAAAGTCAAAATCTATTCTATACCTGAGATCTTCCTGAATAACCTGCTCTGCTCTGTCTCTACTTGTATTTAATACAGAGGTAATGACCTCAAAAGAGGTGTAATAATGCAGAAGTAAACCTTTTTAGGACAGAAATAAGCAGAAGGTATCTGTTCACAGCGCGTATATTTTGTGCTTTACCTCTATCCTAAAAACATGTTCTCTGTGCTCAGGGGTAGTGACTAAAGGCTAGAGCAAGGGCTGCTTCCAGTTATGGCTGACTGTATGTGTCTTTCAACATGTTTCATTTTCTTTCAGGATTCATTCTACGTGTAAAAAATGGTAGTGAGTGAAGTAATAAGACAAAAAGCATAAAGCAGTGACAGAATACATCGAAGAACACCTACTCTCCTTTGCACTCATTTATAATTATGAAAAGAGCAAAAATTTTTAAAAGTTAGTATAGGTAAGGGAATACATCCAAATTAATACAAAAGGGAACCATGTGTTCTGCAGCTTGAGGGCTGGTTGCAAGCCAGGCTATCTAGACTTCTGTTGCCCTGCAGACCAAAGTGGTCATGTTTTCCATCCCACTCTAGGGAAGTATGAATAGACAAGCAGTGGACAGTGATTGTCTCCTCAAGGAACCAAAGAGCAGGAATCTCAGATTTGCAGAAGTTTTAGGGAATTGCTGCTATCAAAATAATTCTTGTTCCCTCGTGTATTATATTTTCAGGAAATATAATTCGAAAATGTATTAGATTTATAATTTTGCAATTTCTTTCTAGATTTTAACAGATATAATCAGTCATTAAATACCAGCCATTCAGTCTGACAGACAAACAATTCTCTCGCCACAACATCCTTAGGATTCTGGTATCTTTTAAAATATCCTGATGTGTACATAATCTTGTCATATGTTACAGCACAGGCATCATTCTCTGGATATTGCTTTGAACTGCTTTTGCTCTGCTCTTTTTGACTGCTCTTTGAGTCGCCATATGTATTATTAGAGAGACCTTCAGTAGAATACCATTGATTGTTCATCTGACTTACTAAAAAGACTTTAATAATTTACAGAGCTGAGTCATTATTTTCTATTTGTACAGTATTGGCTTCACATCTTCTGTTTTGATTTGGGATAGCCTATATCACCATGGATTCACTGCTTCAGGAATGTCTTTTCCATACAGAATGTAGAATTCTAGTGAAATCTTCTGGCTTATTAATGTGATTATACATTAAATTTTTCCTGCTGCTTTCTTAATTTCCTGGTCATTGGCAGAGTGCCTAAAATGACAATATGCTTTGAGCTCAGTCCTGTGTGCTAGTGTCCTTGTGATGTAGGTAACCCACTCATACCTGCGTGCAGATTCTCCATGAAACATAACACATATCTGATTTTTGACTTTTAGAAAATGTCAGCATGTTGCTCTTCTATTCAATGTGGCTGAGCTGTGTAAAAAAGGCATTTCCAATGAGCTGGCGATTTGTTTGTTTGTTTGATTATTTGTTTTAATATTCCCCAAGTTTTCTAATATTAAAATCCTTTCAGAGCCAGTATTGGAAAAGTTAGTCTGTCTGTGAAAACTTTTATGTGTGCAGAGTGTGGTGGAAGCACTGCACTGTGGACCTAAGAAGAGAGTTATGACATTCGTG